CAATATGGTATACAAACATGTCAATTTATAGTACAAATGTTTATGTTTATTATACATTTTACGTGACGCGATTTGATTACAAAATTGGAAGAGCTACGCGTATCGGTATTTTCAAATGTTCACTTTGTTTGGTTTTGTTGCAGCACGCCCCATATAATAATAATCTTTTTATTATTAAGCTGATTTAGTATTAGTCAGTAAGACTGTATTAGTATTGTTCTGACACCTCTAATACCAACCTTCTTCCTGCTCACCCAACCCTCTCAATTCAATTCCCAGAAACCATTGTGTTATATGGCCTTTCACCCTGAATCACCCTTTTACCTGGACCAAGATAGTTCTGAGAGCCATAGCCAGGCATATCATTTGGTATTAGTATTAGTATTAGTATGACAAAGATTAGTCAAAACTGACCAATCCCCCAGAGCCACTTTAGTACTCTCATAAGCTTTTTAAGTGGTTCTAGTTTGATGGGGTGGGATTCAGATGTCGTGACTTTAAAAAGCTCAATATAATCACTTGTTTGGGCCAGCGAATGAGGTCAACAGTAACAGAGGCAAAATTCCTCTGTTTTGGTAGCAAAAACTGATCTCGATCTGTAAATTCCAATAAACTATCCAGCCAAGTTTCATTGGCATCTTCAGTTCCAATATTAATATTAACTTCCGCGTTTTCTGTTCTATCTGCTCATTTGTCAACTCTTCCTCATCCATCTCATCATCTACAAGATATTTATTCACAATTTCCCTCACATGTGCCTCATTCACTATCTCCTTCAGACCCTTCAGATCTTGAAATGTCATGACATCTGCTGGGGGTTGCACTGTGAGTTTCTCTGGTTCAGCTTGGCTATTTATATTGTCAACAGGCCAATAGTTGTATGTAGCCTTCTTACTCTGAAATAGGCTAATCACCAAGCATTCAAAAAATAAGCCCTTGGGGTCAAGTGAGGTCATAGTGAAGTTATCAATAATAATAACATCAGTATTATTCTCCGTTTTATCAATCAATCAAACAACGATGTTAAGGTAGATGGATCTTTTATTCAAAGGCTATTTCGCTTTAAAAAAGATGTAGTAAATGACAGTATTCAATGTAAAAGGCAAGTAACTCTAGACAGATACCTAGTGTAAATAAAGTTTTGATATAAGAAAGGAATTTGGCGGGTCCCGATCACTTTCTTATATCGAGAGCCACTTGTAATTTAAGATACACTTTGCGATCGCTAATACCACAGTTGTGCACACACAAGCGTCGTATTATAATTTTTTGCTTATTTGATGGTAACGTTTATTTAGTTGAGGCAATTGGTCAGCGACAGAAGAAACTCATCCCTCTGTTTCTTCCGTCGTTTTAGTAGCATCATCACTTGATTTATTTATATTTTCCAGAGCTTCCTCTCTCTCTTTTGTCAAAACAAGAAGTCTCTTTGGCCCACTCTTCCATCCGGCCAATCTCCTGTATTGAATAGTTGCATTTCTGCGTACTCCCTTGTAGTTCCGAATATTAACGGGTCAGGTGGATCGGAAGCTTGAATTCCTCGCTCAATGTTACAATCGCTTTCTTGTATTTGGATTTCTTCTTTCTCATTTCAACTGATCCGACCGTTACTGAACGATAAGTTTGATAATTCATGATTCGCACGTTGACGACATCGAGATTGTAAATGTTTGTAAGATAATCTCGTATATCGAATTTGTTTAATCGAGGTGGTACCCGAAAAGCAACTTGGTTAGGAGGGAGCTTCGGATCGCGAGTTAACTTGAATACTATGTTGGGAAATAGACTTAAGTCCTGGCGCAAAGAGACGAAAGACCATTTCCACCATTCAACAGAGTGAAAAAAGAAGGGATTTGATGAATTTGTGGTCCTGTGATTTTCGGTAGATAGTATTGCATCTTGTAACTCTGATCCTACCCAACTCTTTTCTCTTTGTGTCCTTGACGAATAAATAACATTGCCCGGATGTACATTCAAGTTTTCAATCGTGCGGTCAATGGACAGTCGGTCCGGCCTTGCGTCATTAGATGCATAAAATTGAATGCGTTTCCGCGTGATGCCAGTATGATAAGTTCGAAAAGTCAGTTCTTGTCCCAAGTAACAGCCTTTTCGAAAATCAATCCGTCCATGTAGTCGAAATTAGACTGTAACGGAAAAGCCTCGCCAGGCGGAAAGTCGATTATTCCCTCGGGTACACCATGGAGTATCCTTCGTATAGTATATTCTTCTGGAGGTAGTTGCGTGAAATGAGATGGAAGCGGCGATTTTTTCTTCTCAGATGGCAACACTATTCTGAGTCCCATCCCAGGATACCGTCGATCTCTACATCCTATTTCGTCTAGACCTTCTTTCAATACCAATTCGCTTACCGTAATTTTATTAGCTGTCGGTTAGGTATCAGTCTTCTCCACCAGAGATTATTTAAAGTCATCGCCCCATACGTTCCAAATGTTGTATTCGCCAGATACATCTTCTATGGTTATTTTTGAACGCTAGCGAGTGTTATTATAGGTGAGGGGTACGTAATGTTGTCGTCGTCGTCAAGGCAAAGGTTGCCGGTCGTCTATCCCGATAGGTGATGGGCTGATTATTTATTAATAGGAGAATTTTGTATGGCTGATTCTCCTTGTGATCTCATTGTTTCATACACTTGCGCTGCCTTTTTGCTTCTATTGCAGACGTATAATGACAATAAGATGTTGTAAGTATCTATCCTTGGCTCTATATTGCTTCGGCCAAACTTTTAAATATTTCTTCCACTTTAATGGTATTATTTAGCTTACTGTACCCTGTCATCAGAGTATTGAATGTAATATGTCTGGTTTATGTCCGGCAGCTGTCATCTCGTCTAGATACTTCTGAGCATTCTTGATGTCATTGTTTTTAAAAGATGCATTGATCATAGTATTGTACAGAACAATGTCCATTTTTATCCCTACTTGATGCATTTGGGATCAACATCATGTCATACTTCGCATCGAGCATTCAAAGGTATTTCTAATACAGTGGGATTTCCCTAAGTGCAACCCCCTAAGTGCAATTACTAAGTTTGACCCCTCTAAGCGCAAAGTCTGTTTCAGTCCCAAGTTTATAAGCTATATAAGCATTTCACCCTCCATAAGTGCAAGTTTCATCAGTTTTTTCCTATGTCTCCCGTCGAGTTGCACTTAGGGAGGTCTGACTGTACTTCGAAATTGATGTTAGCATAGTTGATTGAATTCTTGTCTATTGATCAATTTTCAAAGTATATTGAAGTAATATTTTTGGGTCATTCATCTACGACAATTCTACCTTAAACTCTTGTTAACAAATGTTCGTTTGACTGTCGAAAAAAAACAAAACAATAACTCTTGATTGAACGTCACATCATCCCGAATCCTCCGCCTGCTGCCTGCTGTTGCTGCTGCCCTTTCTTGGCGACAGATTCACTGATTTTTGTGTAAACATCCCAGAACTTGCAACACATCTGTCGATACATATTGATTCGCCTTTGTTTAGCTCTGGTTCGACGTAATTTGGTGGTATGCATTTCTCAATACTGTTGGAATGATAACATTGTTATATGTACAGTCTGACCCGCACGACAAAGGACTACATCCTCTACAAGAAGCCAATTATCATTATGGGATTGATAAGTGTCGGTTATCATCTCCATTTCTTGTTCCACGATTGCTACCGAACTGCCAAATGTTTGCTCACCAAGCCGGAGTGAGATGAAGAAACGGGAGATTTTAGCAAGTTTGAAAAAATGGGGTGATTGAAATAAAATTTCTTTTTTGTGGTGTCTCCTTCCTGGATGACATTTTCCTGGGCTATTTATAACCATTGCGGCTATGAAATTTGATATTGTCGTATAATCATATACTCACTCTAAAATGACATAATGTATATACCATTAATTAAATGTATATTTTCAAACACATGATTTTCGATAAGTCGGCCATTTTTGAGGTTGGCCGACTTATCGAGACTGATGTTGGAAAGTGTCTGTTATTATTAAAAGGTGGCTAGATAATGAGTAGCCAAAGGGCTGGTTTGAACCAAGCGGGAGACGAGAAGTGTTGGAGAATTCGTCAATCCCTTTTACAATAGATTAAATTGTGACGTAAATTACGGTTTTTAAAATTTTTTTACTTTGTTGCAACGTGAGACGACACATTTTAAGTAAATGATCGACGCATTTTTATGATATATCAAGGGGAACATTCCTCCAGGTTCAGACAATTGCTACTTTGACTCCAACGCGATAACCGGACGCAACCGTACCGAAACTTTAGCACCACAACACTGTAAAATTATGCCATTCAGATTTACATCTAAATGGTGTGAATCTTGGGTTCCGGCCGGATAGTACATCTCGTTCAAGGCCCTCTTAGAGGTTGGTGGGCAGTTCATAACAGCATCCGTATTGATCCCGGCTATTGCCCTTAGATGCGTTTCGCCTTTGGTGTCATAGCTGACGAACGTGCGGACTCACATACGGCTGTGTGGACTTGCTGTGGTGTGTACGGGATACGGTCGGATGTGTTTTCTGGAACTGCGGTGATGTAAAGAGCCTTACGTTTTTGGGTTGTTATGGCCTCTGATAGAAACAGTAAGGCTATAGGCTGAGCAGCTCCAAACAAAGGAATGTGGGTTGGTAGCATCCGGAGTATATTCGAAGATTAGAGTAATTGCAGGGTCGTGAAACGTCTTTGTATTTCCGTTGTAGTAGTCGACATCACTGACGTTACGCCCGTCATCTATATCTAGCTCTATTTCCTCCTCGTCTTTTTCGTTAGAATAGTATCTTACTTGCAGAATCCACATTCTAACGTTATAACTAGCACTAACATAATATCAGCATTCACCTTCAAACGCTTATCCGATGGAAAATATAATAAAATCAAATAACAAATAGGAATCCCTTTGCGAAAAGAGCTTTAATACAATGTTCAATATCTCACATGTCCAATGATCTGTAATCACTTTTCTGATTGGTCATTTCCTCGCGCAAAAAGATTTTATTTCGTTTCGATCCAAAAAAACTTTTTGAAATATTTAATAGTATGGGTAAAAGAAATAGAGCTGCTACACTTCCTACAAACTTGCCACAACTGCAGAATCTAATAAAACGAGACCCCGTCTCTTACAAGGAAGACTTTTTGCAGCAATTTAGACATTATGAATCTCAGTTGACTATATTTAAGCTAAAACCTGACGAGGATGCGGAGGACTTTGGCTCTTTGGTCACCTTTATATCACAGGTGGATAATAAGAAAGAAGAAAAAGGACCACGAGTGTATGCAAAATACCTGTGGTTTTCAATGAAGGAATTCGATGTTTGGATCCTTCACTGTCTGACATTCCTGTAATGCCTATGTACCTTGAATTAATACGATTGTTTTGTTTTTAAGGTTGCTCAATGTTATCCGGAAGAAACAAAAGCTTTCCCCCAACAGATAATAGATATCTTGTCTGAGAATTATCAGATCATGCATCCTGAACTTCGTAGGACACTAGCGCAAGGTCTTATACTCCTTCGCAATAAAGACATAGTATCAAACACCACGTAATTATTATTTCCTTTTTCTCGTTTTTTTTTTAATAGACATTTGCAACTCTGATGTTGGTCAACCGTACATTCGAATTCGGCGGTCGTTGATTTTCGAATTATTCCCGTGAAAAAAAGAAAAAGTCTTTTCGCTTTTTTATTTAATACTTTGGAGTTCATTCTATTCCAATTTCTTTTTTTTCTTTACAAAAAAAACTCATCAAAAAGGATACTATCTCTATTCTTCACGCTCTTTCGCGCACGCGACAAACAATTGCGTGATTCTCTGTACACCTTCATCGTTAATGACATAAAAAACGCGAACGCGAAACATAAGAACATTAAGCTGAATAAGATCTTGCAAAATTTCATGTATACCATATTGCAAGGCACTTCCGGATCAGGTGGTGACCTTGCACGCCAAGGTAAAGAACTGTTCAAACAGGAGATGTCTGAAAATGCTGTTGCAGCAAAGAAAAGTTTGGACGTCTGTATTGAGCTATACAAGAAAAATGTATGGTATGTTGATTCTTGTGTTAATCTATTGTAATTAACGGTAAAATATTTTGCTGACCGGCATTAATGTGGGAAAACAGGAGTGATGACAAGACCGTGAATGTCATAGCGGAAGCATGTTTCCATCCCGTAACCAAGATAAAAGTTACAGCGCTCAAGTTTTTCTTGGGCTCTAATGAAGAAGAAGAAAGTGGAAGCAGTTCGGAGGTTTGTCAGAATTGAGGACTCTGAATTCCCATACAAGTTTCTGCTTGGAATTGCTTTACCGAGATTTTTTTCAATCTAAGGATGACGTGGTTGACATAAGAAAATTACAACACATCAACCATATAAATAAAAAGACGAAATCAAAGGCGCGCAAAATGGAAAAAGCTTTGGCTACTATGCGAAAGAAGGCAAAACAAAAGCACAAGGCAGAGAGCTTTAATTTTTCGGCTTTGCATCTTTTGAATGATCCTCAAGGTTTTGACTCCGTCCTTATTTTAGTGTATACGAATACTTTCATTTTGTTGTTTCGGTTTGCTTACGGTTCCTTTTTTTCGTTCAACGAAGGATTTGCCGAGAAATTGTTTTCGATATTGCAACAATCATCTAATAATGATCGTTTTGAAGTCAAATTAATGACGATGAATTTGATCTCGCGTATTATCGGCATCCACAAGTTGATGTTGCTAGGCTTTTATCCGTATATAATAAGATATCTGCAACCACATCAGCGTGATGTTACATTGGTTTTAGCCATCTTGGCACAAGCAACTCATGAACTTGTACCCCCTGATGTGTTGGAGCCGGTTGTAAAGGCGATAGCAAACGGTTTCGTCAATGATCGTTGTGCTGCTGAGGTTATGATTGCTGGGTATGCTGGTCATGGAAGACGTGTTCGGGGAACATTGCGTGCTCGAGTTTGATGAGATAATCTAATTCCTTGCGTCGAATTAAATATTATAGTTTGAACGCCATACGAGAAATCTGTACACGCCAACCTCTCGCTATCGATGCGACGCTGCTGCAAGACCTGACCGAGTACAAATCGGATCGTACCAAGGGTGTGATGATGGCTGCGCGATCGTTAATAGCTTTATATAGGGAACTAAATCCTGAGCTGTTGCATCGCAAAGACAGAGTAAGCGAGTTGAGACTATATGTGATCTATTTTTTTGAATTTTTTAATCATTATGCGTTGACAGGGTCGAACAGTTAGTATGAACATGAAAGATTACAAGCCGTTGCAATATGGTGAAGTCAAAGTAGTCACTGAAGAGGTTACTGATGAAGTCACCGGGGAGAAACGAAAATTAGATTCGACGTTCGTATAAGCTTGACGTCTTTTCGTATTTTTTTTTCTTTTGTTTGTCGCAGCGCTATTAACTTTATAAATGATTTCCTCAGTCAACATGAAGAACTATCAGATGTAGTCGATGTAAATACCATAATAGGTCCTCGTAAAAAGGCTAAGCAAGATTATGAAGAACGTGTAGAGTCTGTGAGAGCAGGTCGTGAGGGACGTGAAAAATATGGAGCGCACAAAGATAAGAGAGCGGAAGGATCTAGCACTACAAACAAAGAAAAGATCAGGAATAAAGCATTTATGATGGTAGTACACAAGAGAAACACGCTTACCATGAAGAAGATGAGCTTAAGAAAAAAGCAGGTAAGATATGGTGTCAAGCTTCATGAGACGGTTCGGATTATTCGAAGACCGCTGAAACTAAAAGCCAGCGTGTATTTAAAATTGCTCCACAGATACAGCTAAGAAAGCAACAAGCAAAGAAGAAACGATAATGAACAAATGCAATAATCGAGTTACATAAGCTAAATTATTTTATCCACGAAATAAATCCACAAATCTTGTATGTATTACTTCTGCTCTTTGACGAGTAACGGTTTTCATGTGTTGACCATCTTATTCAGTCAAATACCCAATGTCCATGATCCTGCTTTCGACCATATCGCCTGCACTGACTATAAGTTCTGTAATAATTGTCCCTGCACGAGAGTAGAATCAAGTAACTGCGATTGCAATAATAATAACGTATATGTGCATGGCGGATGGATGTCGCTATTACTACTATTATGCTAATTGGTACATATAAGCCATTACAACAACACACGTGAATACGAATACACTTCTCAAACACTTGTTAACGATAAGTAACCAGCTTCGATCTTAATTTATCAATCCGATAAAGAATTATTTATTCTTTAGTAAAGGAATTCAACGATACAGTACAAAAAAACATCTGTTAAATAATATTCTATTGCACTATTTAATATTCATCGGGTTCCTCTTCTTCTGCTTCCACAGAGTCGGTTCCCACTTCCTCATAATCCTTCTCCAAGGCAGCCAAATCCTCACGGGCTTCCGAGAATTCACCTTCTTCCATACCTTCACCAACATACCAGTGGACGAAAGCACGTTTGGCATACATCAAATCAAATTTATGATCCAGACGGGCCCAAGCTTCAGCAATGGCAGTGGTATTAGACAACATACACACAGCGCGTTGCACTTTCGCCAAATCACCACCAGGCACAACAGTTGGTGGTTGATAGTTAATACCGACTTTGAATCCGGTAGGACACCAGTCTACAAACTGGATGGTACGTTTGGTCTTAATAGTAGCAATAGCGTTGTTGACGTCCTTTGGAACGACATCACCACGGTACAAGAGACAGCAGGCCATATATTTTCCGTGACGAGGATCGCACTTGACCATCTGGTTATGAGGTTCGAAACAGGCGTAGGTGATCTCGGCAACAGTGAGTTGTTCGTGATAAGCCTTTGCGGCTGAAATCACGGGGGCATAAGTAACCAACGGGAAGTGGATACGAGGATAGGGGACAAGATTGGTCTGGAATTCAGTCAAGTCGACATTGAGAGAACCATCAAAACGCAGAGAAGCCGTAATGGAGGAAACGACTTGAGCAATGAGACGATTAAGATTGGTGTACGTTGGTCGTTCGATGTCAAGGTTGCGCCTGCAGATGTCGTAGATAGCTTCGTTATCTACCATGAAAGCACAGTCAGAGTGCTCCAAAGTTGTGTGAGTAGTGAGGATGGAGTTGTACGGTTCGACAACGGCTGTGGAGACCTGGGGAGCGGGATAGACAGAGAACTCTAACTTGGATTTCTTGCCATAGTCAACTGACAATCTTTCCAACAAGAGGGCACCAAATCCGGATCCCGTACCACCACCAAACGAGTGGAAGACCAAGAATCCTTGCAATCCGGTACAGTTATCGGCCAATTTTCTAATCCTGTCCAATACCGCATCGACAATCTCCTTTCCGATCGTGTAATGTCCACGAGCGTAGTTGTTCGCAGCATCTTCTTTGCCGGTAATCAATTGCTCAGGGTGAAACAATTGACGGTAGGTACCATTGCGGACTTCATCCACGACAGTGGGTTCTAAATCGACGAAGACTGTACGAGGAACGTGTTTACCAGAGCCGGTCTCGGAGAAAAAGGTGTTGAAGGAGTCGTCACACACTCCAACGCTCTTATCGGATGGCATTTGACCATCAGGCTGTTACAAACAGATTAAATAAATTGGACGTTAGGTTAGCAAATTTTAAAACAGAATATAAGTATGATGATTTGCTTGTTAAAATTTGTCCCGACGCGAAGAAAAAGAATGAAATGAAACGAGTTCTATCACTAAACTATCCATAATGCTAGTCACGCTCTAACTCTCTGACAGTGGAATTTATCATCTGACAACTAATACCGCGACCAAAACACGATTCCAAGTATTTCTCTCTTTCCCTTCCACTCTCATCTCAAACCATCCGCTTGCTTACCTGGATACCGTGCTCAAGGCAGTAAAGTTCCCAACAAGCGTTTCCTATTTGGACACCAGCTTGACCAACGTGGACGGAGATGCACTCACGCATATTGATAGAGTGTTAATAGTAGTAGAGATATTTGTTTGTTTCAAGAAGAGAAACCCGCGAATACGGAGTATTACGAGAAGTTTTTTAATAATAATAAAGGGGGTGGTTGTTGCTCACTTATGTTATGGCAAGTAAGCTAAAGTAACCTAAAGAAACGATAACGGCCCAGATTTGAGTTTATATACCCTTGGCTCTTGGGGTTGTGTTACGCGTATGTCGCCCCACAGTTTTGGCGTACATTTATTTGGGTGTTACAGCAGTATAGTGCGCAGCGCGCTAGCAAATGTAAATCAATTTTAACCAATAAGATTAAACAGTCGTCAAACTTTCGTAATTTCATTGGTGCATAATTCACTTGACTTTAACAATATATTCATACAATCTACAGTGACTGATCAATCCATGCAAGGATACGACCAGAATGTTTGATCTCTTCTATCTCAATAATTTATATAATGAGTTTGCCTTAGATCTGTCGTGTTCAGTAACTGGCCTTTGGATTTAGCTAACCTCTACTGCTCAATCGCCAATACAGCTAGTGACCATTTAAATACTCGAGATTTTGCGTTCGATGTTGTATACGCGGCTTTCTATTGCTATGTAATTATCGGATTAGTTTCGGTAGTCAGTATGACGTCAGAAAGGATTATACTTAAAATAACGCGCAGTTATTATTAGCAATCTTATTTAGCCAATTTGTGGGTCTCACTGACGTGGCCAGGTATTTGAGTCTAATAAGTATATCGTTTATTAATATGAAATATTATGCTAGTAATAACCGGGTATTCAAAGATGGAACTAACCGTTGAAGATGGTCTTAGCTAGTGAGAATCACATACACTTACATAATTCTATTTAAACATCGGCATCTAATATTTTCGTTTACTTAATGTTGTCTCCGCTGGCTCGAGTATTATAATAAATCCAAGTAACTAATTAATCATAATACGTAGTTGTTTATATACTTAAGAATTCTGACAGTTAGATTTAATTCGTTGGTGTGCCATAGTTGGAAAATTACCAGACACGATTTATTATTACAGCATAATTGATCAACTCTTCAATGTTTTTTTGACGACTAAAACACAACATTTCCAACAGTGTCGACGAATAGTCTTGATTATACATGAAACAGTGGAATTATTATACACAAAGACGATTTGTTCTTCGCCGTCGACGAATACAACACAATGTATCGTTATCGTGTGATGCGTTTGTCAATCGCAGTCTATTAAACAATTACATTGCAAAGAAATTATCCAAGAAAATAAAGAAAGGAGTGAAAGTGTAATCAATACGACAAAATTTTGAAATAAGTGTACTGAAAGAAAGCTCCGCTATAATTTCAGGTAATCGAATTGTGTTTGAGAATGTTTATTAATTCAGTTTTTAAGCTAGTTAAAATAATGTAAAATGCCGATTAGTTGTTGTAGCCAGCCAACTTCATCGAACGGCGTCTTCAGAACGATAATGGTAAATAGTAGATACAGACGCCTCCTTTCGAAAAAATAATTTGATCAACATAACGTTCCCGGGTGGCTTAGAAAGAATGCCTGAAGGACACGTCAACCTAGTTGCGCGTAAAAATTGTAATTCTTTCCACTCTCGATAGCCGGCTCTCTTGGGCTAACTGCCTCAACTGTGTTGTTTGTTGTGGTTGCTTTCTTCATGACAAGGATGCTCATACTAATACTGTTTGATGAGTCATAGTCTACGAACTTTGAGGGTGTCTTTAATTGCATTACGGACTACAGAGATGCTGATCTGTTGTTATCAGTATAGCAATCAGATTATTACTACGTGGAGATTCTGTCTGATAATTTATTTATTATTATGACCATCTGGCCAGCATAGTGCTTATTTTATTTGATGTATGTACCAGTGACAGTGTGTCTGCACAAACCCATATATTACCACGTTTTCCACGCAAGTTGACGAATTGTTATTAGGTTAACAGATTCGAGAGCATAAAGAACTGTTTCACAGGTCGCGGTCCAACATAAGAATCCGTAAATAGTTATAATAACATTTGGCATACGAATATCCAAAATTGTGATTGTATTCCCGGTGGAATTAACGAGAGATGTAAATGAAAAAAAGAAACTGTTAAATTTATGTCATAAAACCTCTGCGCATAACCTTGCTGGAACAAACGCCTTTTACGTGACATTGGTAGATATGAAAGTAGGACACGTAGAGGTTTATCGTGTTACATGGTCGACCTATATATGACGAACGTTCGCTCTAGCAAAATTTCGACCAGTGATCTCTATAATATAATTGTCATAACGCGTACTACAACATAATCAAGTTCTGAAAATTGGGCCAACCTAGTATAGATGAGGGACGGTTTTAGCTGCATTTGTGATTTCTTTTTGTTTCCTGATGCTAGTCGTATGTCATAGATTTAGCCTCCAAGTACCATGGGGTTGTCCCATCGATTTTGCACCGGATACACGCGATTTATTCTAACGCGAACTACAAAATAAATATTCCTTTATTCATTGATAATAAATTATAGCAAAATATAACACCTCCCCTACAGTCACACACTTGGGCCGGGCAAAACCAGTGACTCTAAGGAGGGGTGACTGTATAAAGGGATTCATTGATGGTCATGTGATCAACATATATTACGCAATAAGTTTTTAATTATTATTTTGTAAAATAAGATTCGATTTTGACGTTTTGATTCAAGCTCTTTGAGACTGAGCAGTTTCAGATATTTGGCAGATTCATCGCAATAGCTTGGTGTACCCACAGTTCCATAGCTTTGCAGAATGTGCGCTAGGATCCTGTTTTGTTGAAAGTATATTAAGCCATTTCTCTTTTTTGGATAGACTTTGGTTACAGTTGAGCGATTCATGTTAAAATTATATTTATTATTAAAGTGTTTGGCAATGTCTGCATGGTTCAAGGTAGAATTTTGTTTCGCGTATTCACAAGTTTCAGGTTTATTGTCAATACTCAATTGAACTCTTTTTTGTTGATGTTATGAGGACATTGTGTAAAGATTACATTTATCCAAATACTAATACTATCGTACTGTGTAAATGTGTGGTGGCTTTATAATAAGCCGTAAATGCATTTACTATTATTCACTACAAATATAATAACCCATGATGTTACACGATAATTGTGACTGTGTAGAGGGATTTTATATATAGACTTCATAGTGACATCGGGTGACTGTGACTATCACTATGTATATGATGTGACTGTATAGGAGGAAAATCATTATGAAAAAAACCGGGACCGAATCAAATTGCGACTATAAGCCAATGTGATTGTGTAGGAGGTGACTGTAGGGGAGGTCGACTGTAGTTTGTTAAGGCTACAAAGTGTTATTAGTCTTTTTACAGTATGATGTTCACAGCTTTCAGTATTAACTTTGATTAGCCAATTTTGTTACATCCCAGTGCATTGGGATTACTGGATTGGTTGGGGATCAACGCGCAGTTTTCCTAAAATCAGGAAAGCGCAAAAACGGGATCCTGCCACTTACTTTTGAACACACTTCAAAATACTTTTTACCTTCAACTCTTGTTCATTTCATTCACAGATTGCGCATTGATTTTTAATGAATAACTCTTATAAGCATGCTCTCAAGCAGATCAATAGTATTCGTGAGGACATTGGCAAGTTTGATCGGGGTGAGGACGTTTCTGTCGGTATACAAGGTAGGAATAAAAGAGCTTTTCAATAATCTCGAAAGTCAAGGCTTATTCTCAGGCTTGCTGTAGGACAAATATCAGCTGGTTTCACAGCACTAGAACGTACAATCGACGAATACGACGGCCTTGCCAGGAGAGAGATTATTTTGGTGAAGCAAGAGAAGGCACTTGTGTATGTCTTTGTAAAAACGTTTAGTCAAATAGTATTATTGCTGTAAATAGACTTACCCCATTGATATGTCTTTTTTAGGAATCTGCGCAAGCTAAGAGATGATTACAACGAGTTGAGAAAGTTGTTTGCGGCGACGAAACAGCGAGAAATGGCTAAAGTATGTAGAAAAACTTTATTGTTAACGATATCATCAAAATATAATTTAACGTATATTTTATCATTAATACAAGGCTTACTCATATTTAAACATTTACCTTGCAGGTTGCTGCTAATGATCGATCCGAGTTGCTTGGGCGACGGCATCAAACATCGACGGTACTGTTCTAATGATATAATTTTCGAGTCGCAATGTTTGAGGCTGTGTTATTATTTTCGTAATTAATTGCTTTCTCTCTCATACTTTAGCCGGAACATCCCTTTCACAGAGATCTCACAAGAGAAGACTATGCACTCCGGGAACATAGTTTTCTTAACGAGACAGATTCAAAATTAGATGAGTTTATATCTTACGGTAATACAGTTCTTAATGATATGTACCATCAGAATAATATACTAAAGGTACGTGAAATAAAGATCAAAAAGAACTTACAGTGTTGTTATATGGTGCCATTTTTTTATTACTGCTGAATCTTGTGATATTTTTCTGAATAATTCTGTATATTTATTAATTTACTTCATCATTCTACAGGGTACCCAACGTAGACTGTTAGATGCGGCAAACACTCTAGGACTCTCTCGTAGTGTAATCCAATATATCGAACGAAGGTCTAGTCAAGATAACTGGATTTTTATCATTGGAGCAGGATTCACGTTATTCTGCATGTGGGCAATTGTACATTATTTAACATAATAATCAGTTTCATTTATTCTAATTTATTGTCAGCCGAGAAAAATAGAAGATATAGTAGGAACTAGAGACGCAAGCGCATAAATTCTTATACCTTATTATCATTACCCATACACTCTTTAAGAAGGTTAATTGGGAAATGGAGCATCCTTAGATGGGTTAAAGTGTGGATTTGGCCAGAATAAATCTAGCATACTTCTCCATCCTCTTCCTTTTGGGTAGCCGAAAAATCGTTGTACTGGATAATCCCCGTGGCAACGTCATTTGCATAGATGAATTGATTTCATACTAACTTGAGCATGATAAATTTATTTGCAACATGATAATGATAACTTGATACTGTACAGAGAATATTCACATTATGAACATAGACATTAGCCTGATTGTCACCGAACTCCATTGGCATAACTGTAATTGACAGATCCATTCACATGATGGGCATGATTATTTATCATTGACCTTCTTACCATCTGTAAACTTCCCACTACATACAAATCTAGCAAACCTATAACGCACTTGAACAACATCCCAGTTCTAAACACCAATCCAATCCAGAATCTATTCTTTAATACATGAAAATTATCGTATGGCCCCGTATGTTCAAATCGAGTCAATCCTAACACTCTTACAACAGCCGGAAGAGACGAACTAATGATCAATAATACTGTCACATTTGCGATCATCTGCTGTACGCCAACTTTTCCCCATGCCGGACGAATCTTGGCAAACGGACTCATAGAATAGGTCCCAATGATAGTAGCAATTGTAAAACAGAATATCAGAGTCATCTCACTCAACGTCCCAATAGTCCCAAACATTGATAAAACAGATGATGTCTGTTTGCCAAGCACTGCCTCGAGCTTCCTTCTCTGTTGCTCCTCGTCTTCTGATAATAGTATACCCTTGATCAAATTGAATGACATTGCACCAATCAACACTAGCCACGTGATGTGGATAAAAAGAAATAAAAAGAAAAAAGATATATTGCGAGAAATTGGAGACTGTGAAAGTTTAACTTGTGTCTGTCGGTTCTGAGTTTCGAGGTTTTCTAATATCGCAAGAATTCGTTCTCTTATAAGCAGTGATCCCTCACTTGAAGCAAAAGATGATTGACTCAGATCACCATTCAAAGAAGAATATAGGCTTTGAGATGATGAAGTCAACGAAGTTGCCGTCGAACTTGGCAATACGGCAGATATAGACATACGACTACTGTTATGATTGTTGCTATTATTTTCTGATGACATCAGCGATCTATTTATACTCTCTAATCGTTCCTCCCATACTCTGGCATCCATTTGATTTTGGACCAGCTCATCATTAAGAAACCTCTTATTATTAGGACGCAGAGAGCCTATCCATCTAATTATCACCGCATACCCACGTGGAAGAGCGTTTAGACATATAATAGATCCGGCCAACGATGTAAGCAAGTTCAACACGACCAACATATTATCATCCGTTTGTAGCATTAACTTTGATACGTAAATGAATCCATACATAAGTATATCAACCAGAACCATATTAAAGAAAGTCTCCCTCGCCTTGGGAAAAAACGTCCATCGTTGATCTGTCTCACTATAGAAATAAGCAAATGGCAATAACGCAAACAGCGACACATTGCATCCGATGAACGTGTAATTCCATAACGTAGCCAAGAGCTTTGTGTCTAACCAATTAAGATTTTCGCTCTGCAAATTGATCAATGCAGTTGCTGCCATTGTACAAGGTAACAACAAGAATCCTGCCATCGCCATAGCTAATCCAGCAGCACATAAGAACATAATTATCAAATTGTCGATGCTGTCCTCATTTTCTTCAGGGTCGTTTGATCGGAATCTCCTCCTGAATCGCCGTAGTGTTATGTATGATATAATGTAGGGAGAGAGGAATAGGAGGAAGGCTATTATATTCTCACGCACTAGAGTGTACCATTGACTTTCTTCGGCTTCGTTTGGAGGTTGCCCTGACATGTCAATTGAGAATGCAAACAACAAGGTGATCTATAGTTCTCCCAGTAACACAGCGCGTTGTTGTTATTGCATGCGAGGAATAATATTATCGTCAATTGAGTAGAGGTGTTTTCCAGTTATGTATGCTTTCTACAGTATACCAGATACTCAATAATACAATTTGTTATGCTTTAGCCACTTTTCCCTCCTTGACCTCTATATCATACACTTTTGAAATCGTACAACGTTTTAAAAGAAAAGACTAATCGGAAGCTCTACAACCGCTTATGTTTCTCTGTATGCCCAAATAAGGAAAGTTGATTGCACAGGCTCTTATCCCTACATAGGGGACCATCGTGTGACACGCACTATCAGGCAATCCTGGTAAATCACTTTAAAAAGAGGTCCCCACTCAATAATAGAGACGCAAACTAAGCTAGAAGCGAAAACAGCGCATAATTTAAGCACTGTTTGTTTGACGCACAAATGCATTCCGTGTTTGCCGCTGTTGGAAATCAATCTTCAAGTGATTTCTTCATTCAACTAGATGAACCTAATAGAGTATACTTTCCGGGAGACGAAATAAGAGGTGAAGAAATTCGAGCTATAACGAACTTGCTTTATCTCATCACTCGTTATAAAAAAATTTTTTATTCAAACATTCCCGTATTGAACAGGCGTCATTCTTATTCGCAGTTCGAAACGAATAAGGTCGTCGTCAATACGTCTTCGGTTTAAGGGTAAGGTGACTACCAATGCACGCGAGTCTCGAATGTTCCGGGTATTTGATAACTCGGTGCCTGTTGATGAGCTTGAAAAAGTCGGGTATACTCCTCACCAGAGGTTTGCTTTTATGGCAAATTTGCCACAGGGAACATTACCCTCTATTTATTCGGTATGTTGTTTACATCGTTCTATTGTATTCGAACGATTTTTACTCTTACTGTTTGATGTGGTTTGTAGATATTTACATGAATAACCGGGAAGGATATCTATTGTAATACAGTTTAATGGTGGTTCGATAAGCTATACTTTTAAAGCGACACTGCACTCTTCTTGGTTGCCCGAAAAGTTATCGAAAAGGTGTGCAGTTAGCGTGAATGTATTAGATAGAATTGACATTCAGGCCTATCCAGCGCCTGTGATTAGACCATTTCAAACAGAAGTCAAGGTGAAGAAAAAGAAGACCAAGGGAATTGCGTTTGTCGATGTGTTGGTTGGGAAAGGAGCAGTTTTGCAAGGCAAGTCTTGGTGCGGGTAATGGGATAGTGTTCTTGTGTACTAGGCTAAGTTCGTCATTTGCATTGTGTAGGTCAAAGCATTCCTATTCGTATACATATTAAACATGTGGCTCCAATAAAAAATCTACAAGGAGTTATGGTCGGATTCTACAGGACGACTGGTTTTGTAATGAAAGATGGGTAATGTCAAGAAACCAGCACAAGATGCTGTTATGGCTTTATGTATCATTCATTATTGTTTACCATGATTTACTTATATGTTTGTCAATGTTCACTGTCAGTAGTCGAGAGGAGAGACATCCCAAAGAACTTTTATCAACAGTCTCGCCTATACTTATCGATCCGGACACACTTGAGACCAACATTAGTACAAAGATAACTGTTCCCAAAGACATTTCTCCTACAATTTCAAATGCAAAGATAGTGTCGATAAGTTATTATGTGGAGATCATTGTTGATCTGACGGCAAAGACGACTATCTACGAAACATCTAGCCGATCAAAGAAAAGATTAGGTAAATCGCACGGCCGATTCGAAGTACCAATTGTTGTAGGCACAATCGATAGTAACTTAACATCTCCGAGGAGAACGTCCGTTCGTCGTTCGTCTATTCAATTACCAATCCGAGGACGTCTACAACAAAACAACGTACTTCCTAACGAATGGGCGTCCAATTCGGCCGTTTCGCTGAATGATCCGCTACTAGCGCTTCCTCCATCACCGCCATATCGACATTCGAGAGCTATATCATGGACAGGATCAGTCTCACCTGTGCCGTCCGCCCCATCAGTCGAGGAGTTGGGTTATTATGAAGATTTTGAAGTAAAATTTAATCCAAAGAACCAGGCGGAAGTGACTGGAGTTGCTTTTGATGATTGCTATAGCGAGTCAGATGGGAAACCATCGAGAATAGATACGTTCTCAACGGTTTCATCGTCATCGACATACGTTTCGCCATCATCACCTGAAACTCCCGTTGCTCCCTTTGTGCCAACACGCTGTTCTACTCCACAACAGATACGAAAGGCGCGTTTTAGTCAATAGAAAAGATAGTGCGATGAACTAGTCCAAAAGGAGAACAATTATCTAAAGAGGGCTTTTCACTGTTTCATTGGGCGTGGTAATTTTGTTGTAATACTGCTGTTTGTAATGGTGGAAATATAGGACGGTTTAATTGTAAAGTTTATTTATTATCCCATTTGTATTTGATTATAATTTTAGCCATTATTATTATAGCATTAACCAATTTTGAATATTTACATACTTTATCCAAACATATACTTTATATCAGACGTGCATTGTTTATGTGGACTAGACCACATTTGTTTAAAAAAATGTAAATAAATTAGATAATATTGTCAATGAAGTCATTGGAGTTTTGAGTGTCTTATTTCAGCACATCAATGAAGTCATTGGAGCTTCTTAGTCATATTACCATATTTAGAAAGGTATGGGATGCTAGTGCAATCGTTCATTGGTTTTTATTGGAACAAATAGACAGTGGAGAATACAAGATTAAGATCAATTTTTAAATTATTCATAGCTTGCTATACATTTCCCTTGATTTTAGTCGACACGCTAGCCGCATCATCTTTGTTTAAACCCCATATCGACCAGCTTCTACACTGTTTTCTTTATTTAGACGGTCGACGTCGGGAAAAGAAACTACTACGTGATCCTTTCCCATTATCTTTTTCCTCACGCTGGTTCGTCTCCTTGTTCTTGCGTCCCTGATCTTCTCTTTCTTCACGACGGACTACTATGCGATCGGGGCCATTCAATCCCTGTGCAAAACGTCTTTGGAATGGTATCAGATTGCCCTCGTCATTATGTCGACGATTAGCATTGTGGTCGTCAAATATAGCGAAAACTATGTGACGATAGGTCTTTGGTTGTTCCACACCACCGGCATATCCACTCGAAATTACTTCCCAGAATAGTTGAGCTACCGTCGCCGGCGGGTTACAGAATGCTCCGCAGCCGAACGCACTGAGGACTATCGCATCATGACCTATTTAGTGATTTGTACAGAAGAACGTGAAAGTGTGAATATGGGCGTAAGTTAATTCACATTAAAAATGGTTTCATACCATTGTCTAATCCTATATTTAGTATAGCCTTGATCTTGTCTCGTGTCAAGGATTTATTCTGATCCGTCAGAGTCAGTTCTCCAAATCTGTCACGAATAAGTTTGGGTCGTCTTACGGCAGCAACGGCCTTTTTAATTTCGTTAAATCGTTGCGTTACTATAAGAAAATGAATATAATATTCAAGACGGAATACCAACATACCACAAATGACATAGTTTCTGGTTCTTCTAACCAGCAGTACGCCAGTTGCTCGCTATTACGTATTACTATTGCGTTTGGACAATATATGCCACCCAATGGAGGAAGAGGATACCATTCTTTCCTCTTTGGTTCGTGATACCGAAATAGGTTGGTTCTTCTGAACAAATTTTCTTCCTGCGCTCCAGCACCATGGCCGTATCCTACGTCGAGTTATCAAATAAATTGAGCGATTCGAACTGCGCTTGCGATCAATTAGAAATTACGTACCGCCACCAGGAACCGTGGGACAGGCCATGTTTAACACAATTGGATTAAACCCTTTCTTCTTCAACTCTAATCCTTCCAACAAACAATCTCCATTGACCACTGTTACTACTGGAGTGTCTTGCTCTTCGAGTATAATTTCTCGAGTGATAGTAGTTGCATCATGATAGAGTGTCGCTTTTTCAATTTCGGCATC